ATAAGATAAATGAAAGAAGTAACCCAACCTTTTTCTCTTAAAGCAAAAGAAATAACCAAGCCAACAAAAATTCCCACCCTCTTCTCCTCTGCTTACACTGCCACCCCAACCAAAAAATGAAAAAAATCTGAACATTGAATCTTCAAGCCCCTAATCACTTAAGCCGAATGCAAGACTAGGATTAATGTAGAACTTAAAACTATTTTTGTTATTAAAGAGTAAGTACATCTGTAAGGGTATAAATACACAAGGCAGTGCTCAGTGCTCTGCCGCTGCCTCGGTTCTCTACCACAGGTGCACGGCAATTACAATGAGAATACCCTTACCCAATTACTTGTCCTTTCTTGATCTTCGACTTGCTCCGCCAAAACATGCCACACGCATTTAATGCGGTTACTTCGTTAAGACACGTTATGTTCACTTAAGACGTCTGCTTCGTCAGGCACATCATATCATGATTATCATGTTAAGTAGGCCATGTGGGTATAGGTAGGCCATGTGGGTATAGGTAGGCCACGTGGATACCTTGCCAAGATGTACAAAACCCATGAGGAAAGGTACGTTATATAGATGAAATAATCATAAAGAGAACACTGTCCAGAAAAATACTAACTTAAGCATCGGAGTTTCTCCTCGAGGACCAACCTCGGGATTTTATAGGTTTGCCTAGAGAGAAGATACACAAAAGGAAGATCTTAGAGGTTTTCTACAACAACATTGGTGTTGTTTGTGGGAAAACGAATAAGAAGCCTTGAAAAGAGACTAAGATGGTTCGCACACGCTCAACCCAGCATGGAAGTCAGTCTCGAGGTGGTGGAAGAGGCCAATCACCGAGCCCCAACCCCATACCTCAAAATGTACTGCTTGCTGCTGCTTAATGTCAGCATGTGGAAGGAATAAGAGAACACAATCCACAACATCCAGTCACCACCCCGAACGACCTCATAGCTACTCAACTCAACACCATGCAGCAACAGTTCAGAATGTTCTAGCTGGTGCTTGCACAACTCCTAGCCAGAAACAATCCCGGTGACCCTCTCATCAGCTTGTCAAACCCAACTCACCCCACTGTTCCTCACCAACAACAACAGCTTGTCAACGCCCCTATTCGAAGCACTGCCCCATCTAGGAGTGCCTCCCAATCAGAATCTCACATCCCACCTCCACCTCCCAATCCACCTCAACCAGTAGCCTCAAATGTCTCTAAAAGGCTAGATAACCTTGAAAGAATGCTGGCCGAAAACAAAGTTGTACCTCTAGGCCAAACCAACTTAGCTCCTGTATCTACTCCTTTTAATACCAACATTATTCAAGAACCATACCCATCAGGCTTTAGAGTGTCTCAATTCGAGACGTATGACGGAACTAAAGACCCCAATGACCACTTACACGCCTTTTATTTTGTTATGCAGGCCCAAAACTCCTCGGATGCCTTCATGTGCAAAATATTCCCATCCACATTACGTGGTAATGCTCAAATCTAGTATTACAGTCTACAGTCGAACTCAATCAGTTCATATGCCGAGATGGCGACGGTCTTTGCCATCAAATTTTCTAGTTGGAGGCTGATCAATAAAACAACAGTTGAGCTCATGTGGGTGGTCCAGAGGGAAGGAAAATCCCTAAAAAATTATATAAACAGGTTCAATGACCCTGTGCTAGAGATTAGTTCGTTTGACCAAGCTATAGGAATCGCCACCATCACTTAAGGGTTTGGCTATGAGCGGTTTCGAGACAGCTTGATCAACCATCCCCTTGCTTCATTTGAAGAAGTCAATAAAAGATCCCACAATTTCATCACTACAGAATAATATGTGTTGTCACAAAGGCCTTTAACCACCAGAGACAACAGAAGCCTTGCGTGGAGGGAGGAAGGGTCAAGTAAGAAGAAATTCAAAGTCCTTTAGAACCGAGGTCTGCTTTCAACTGCCAAGGTTGATAAGCCCAATAAGAGTGCCTTGCAGGCCACAGGGAGGCAACCCACTTGGACTCCATTTACATTATCAAGGTCACAGATCTTAATGCAAATAAAAAATAAAATGGATCTCAGAAGGCCACCACCCATGCAGAGCTTACCCATCTCTAGAGATGACACTAAGGATTACGACTTCCACCAAGATCACGGCCACACTACAAAAGACTGCAATAGCCTAAAGTTCGAGCTCAAAGGTTTGGCTCGGAAGGGGATGTTGAATGAGTTCATCCCTAACAAGGACCACCCCAAGTTTGTAAGGGAGCAGGGACAAGAGTCTCAAAGACCCCGAGGTGTTGGCAACAAGTCTAGGGTCGGATATCACCAAGCCCCACCTTGCTCCCCACACCAGCCATAATCATTCACATGATAAATGAGGGGCTAGAGGCACGAGGGATGAGCTCAAAGTAGTAGAAACTCTATGTAAGGGAGGTCAAACACTAGAACCAGGCTTAGAAGAGGAAGTTCAATGATGAAAGGTGGAAGAACCAACCCATAACATTCACATCGGCTGACCTCGACAGCGTCATTACACCCCATAATAACCCGTTAGTCACGTCGGTCATCGTCAACAATTATGAAGTCCATCGTGTCCTTATTGACCCTGGAAATGCTCCAGATATAATGCACTACAATTGCTTTGAGAGCCTTGGCCTTGACCCAAGTCTCTTGCAAAAATATGGACATATCATGGCTTCAACAATCAGCCAGTTGCCGTTGAAGGGGTACTAAGGCTTAATGTGGCCTTCGGTTCAGACCGAACGTATGTCACCCCTTTCAGTCCAGTTCTTGGTTGTGAAAATGGCCTCATCTTTCAACATAGTAATGGGGAGGCCCACCTTGACAGAAATCTGAGCTGTTGTCTCCCAGTCTCACCTATGTATGAAATTCCCCACACCTATGGGAGTTGTGACTTTGAGGGGCAACCAAGAAGTAGCCAGACACTATTATATGACCTCGGTCAATCGACCTTGGAGGGATAAGGAACTAGTTCAGTTACCAAAACCAATGCAATTAGAGGCACCTAGTACTCAATAAGTGATGGGTGTGGAGTTGCTAAACAACCGATCGGATGACGAAGCCAGAGCTGCTTCGATAGAGGAAACGGAAGAAGTGCAGATCGTCAACAATGATCCCGCCAGAAGGATGCAAATTGGGACAAGACTGAAATCGAGGGAAAGAGAGGAGCTCATAAGCCTTTTAAAAGCAAACAAGGATGTGTTTGCGTGGACCTCAACTGACGTGCCCGAAATCTCGACCTCGGTTATGGTGCACAAGTTAAGCACTAACCCTCTGAACCTTTGGTAGTTGAGCTCAAGGTCAAGCGCTTACAAACATACAGTGACTCATAATTGGTGGTTAATTAAATCAATTCTATGTGCGAGGTCATAAATCCCACTCTTGCAAAGTATGTGGTTGCAGTCTCTGGGTTGAAGTGTCACTTTAAAAAATTCTAGCTTACAAAGGTCCTAAGAGCAGAGAACGAACATGCAGATTCTTTGTCAAAGTTAGCATCCGATAGCTTGAGGGGGTGAGATTTGTCTATATCGAGATCCTAAATGAACCAAGCTTTTAGACATCGAAGGTAATGGAAATCAGTACCAATCCAAAAGCTCCTAGTTGGATGGACCCCATCAGAGCTTACCTTTGAGATGGAACTGTCCCAACAAACAAGCAAGAGGAGATGAAGTTACGAAGAAGGCATCCCGGTACACCCTGGTTGGTGATGTCTTATACAAGAGGTCTTACTCATTACCTTTCCTTCGGTGCCTGACGCTGTATGGAGCTAAGTATGCATTGAGAGAAGTACACAAAGGGGTATGTGGAAGCCACGTGGGAGCTCGGACTTTGGCCCATAAAGTATTTCGACAGGGATAATATTGGCCTAACATACAGTATGATGCAAAGCAGTTCATGCAGAAGTGCTCGAAATGTCAATTCTTCACTCATCTCACACACCAGCTATCTTAAGAACTCACTAACATGGTCGCACCTTGGCTTTTTGCCCAATGGGAAATAGATCTTTTTGGCCCTTTCATCAAAGGAGTAAGGGGAGTAACACACTTAGTAGTTGCCATTGATTACTTTACTAAGTGGGTAGAAGCCCAGCCTCTCTCTTGTTTGACTTCGAAAAGGATTGAGGATTTTCTTTTCAGCTCGGTCATTTGCAGATACGGGATACCAAACCAGATCATTGCTGATAATGGTCCTTAATTTAATTGCAACTCTTTCAAAGATTCTTGCTCCAGTTACAAGATTAAACTAGTGTTCACTTTAGTTTATCATCCTGAGGCCAATGGAATGGTTGAATCAATTAACAAAACCATCTTGGAGGGAATCAAGCCAAGGTTGGATAAGTTGAAAGCAAAATGGGTAGACGAGCTCAATAACGTCCTATGGGCCTACCAAACTATGAGCCGAATTGTCACAGGTACGCCCTTGATTTTAATCTCCTCTTTCACTATTTTACTCAAAGTCATAAATCACTGCACAAAGCAAATCCTAAAATCATAGTCTCCTTTAAATAGGCAAAACGCCCTATCATTTGGCCTTCGGCACCGAGGCAATTATTCTTGTCGAAATTGGTGTTCCGAGCTTAAGGGTCAGCCATTTTGAACCAGCTCAAAATGAGCAACTACTTAGAGAAAACCTTGATTTCTTAGACGAAGTCCGAGAGCAATCCCAACTTTTGATGCTCGCACACAAGTAGAAGGTATCCAACTTTTACAATAAGCGGGTTCGACCTCGGAGCTTCAAGATTGGTGACCTAGTTCTCAGAAAGGTCGGGCTCACAAGGTTCAAGACCCACTTCGGCAAATTGGCACCGAACTGGGAAGGAACATATTGTAATATCCCAAAATTTTGGGGATATTTTAGCATTAAATAAGGGACTTATATGAGGGAAAATATTATTGAGGGGCTTAATAGTCAAATTTTTAAAAGTTGAGGGACTTAAAAGAAAGGAAATTAGGATAAGGATCAAGGCTGATATTTCTCTCCTCAGCCACGTGTTTTGCTCATCCTCATCTTCTTCTTCTTCCCGACTCTTCCTCCCGACAATCCCCCCAAGCCCTTCTTGCCACCGACTCATGTTGAGAAAAATTGGTGACCAAGCTTGGGATTTTCTCTTTCTTTTCTTGTTCTTGAACCCAGAAATCCCCCCCCCCTCTGCTGGAAATTCCAGATCTGCTCTGCTCCTCCCCTGCAGCCGGCAAGAGCCCTAGCCACCGCCACCCATTTCCGGCCGGAAATCTGGCAAAGCTTGGGGATTTCTCCCTATTTTCTTGTTCTAGAACAGCCACTAAACCAAAATTTCCAGATCTGTTCTGCTCTGCGTCGTCCTCTCTTTGATGTCCGCGAGTTCTGCTATGTGGGTTTGAGTTTCTGGGCATTTTTCAGGTAAGCCACAGCCATAAACTTCATCTTTCAGCTTGATTTAGGCTGGGTTTACCTTAATTGCTTTATTCCCTTCCAATTTTGAGGTAGCCGTGAGTTTCCCCTGTAGATGCCGCCGGCTTCTTCTCCCTGCCAGCTCCGGTTTGCTTGCTGGAATTCTGGTAAGTTGCCGGCTCTTCCAAGTCCAATTTAACCATGTAATTATTGCCTTGTGTGTGTCCAAATTGTGCCGGAAAAGGGGATAAATTCCAGTAGCATTTAGCAGCCCTTTAAATGTGTTTTGTTGTTTAAACTATGTGGGAATTAGCTTGATTAATTGCTGTGATGTTCTGTATGCATAGCCGGGCTTTAGTGCTGTTTTGCCAAGCTCGGTTTCTCCATTTTGTCCGTTGAAAGTTTCCTGTTGAAATGGAGGAGTTTTGGCAGCTTTAAAACATGGGTTTTAAGCTTGCTTAACGTAGAAAATTAGCTTGAATTGGGTTGTGAATTTTGGAGAGAAAATCCCGTGAAATTAGCTAGTGTTTTGCCCAAATTTTTGAAGTTACCGTCACTGTTCACCGCGGATCACTGTTCATGGGGTACTGTTCATAGGGTACTGTTCACACACCGAGGGTTAACGATTAACGGGGATTTAAAGGTTTAGTTTGTGATATAAGAATGAATTTGGAGATGTCCGATTATGTGGAGATTGATAGAAATAGCACTATGATTAGGGGTAGTGCTAATGATGATTTTACTGTGAATTTGTGGTATGATTATTAATTGTGGAATATTGTGATTAGGTTTTGATCGTTCTGTCACCGTAGCACTTGGGTTAGCCTTCTGTTCTGTGCGAGTAAGGTAAGTAAATCATGGTAAAGCCCTTCGATTTTAAAGCATGTTTTAAACTGTTTTTGAGATGGTGGCAAGGTTTAACTTGATTTTAATTGATTTTATCTGCATCTGAGTGTGATTAAACTGAAATGAGAATTTTGATGATTTTCATGAAAATTATTGTTTTCTAGAAGTGAGCATGATTGGAATGAAAAAGTGAGAATCTCATTGTTTTTCTGGAGTTATTGTGCCGAGCATGATTGGTTTGAAATTGAGTGGAGCATGCCTATTTGGAACTGATTGAACTGTTTTGATTAAATGAGAGTTTTGTAAATTATGATTTTCTGTTAAATCCATGCCCACATGGAATGTTCTGGTTATTTCTGAAATTATGGATTTCGATCGTGAATTTGGGACTTCGATTGTGAATTACAGATTTTGATTGTGAATCCTGCATGGTTTTGTCTCTGATATAGTCATGATTTTCGATCCCCGCTAGTGGGTGTAACGCTAGCACTTCCGATCACCGCTAGTGGGTGTGTAGCACATCCGATCCCCGTTAGTGGGTGTAACGCTAGCACTTCCGATCCCCGCTAGTGGGTGTAACGCTAGCACATGTCAACATGTTTACTGATATGACCGGTTCATTCTGACGCCTGCCTCTGGGCGAATACATTGGCAAATTTCTGTTGCTTGCCAGTGGGTTGTTATAACACTGGCCATGACTTATAGATGAGACTACTGAATTGAATTTGATTATGCATTAACGGTTTTGTCATGAAACGTTTTGTTATTGAACTGAATCTGATTTTGCATTGACGGTTTGTCAGGAAACGTTTTGCTATTGAACCGAATTTGATTTCCGCATTAACGGTTTATTAGTGAAAGTTCTGTTATACTTACATGGTTTATCTGGCATGCTAAAAGTTTTACCCAAGGGCTATCCATATTTACTTACTGAGTTATCTCATAGTTTTCCTTGTCCACCATTTCAGGAATCGAAACCGAGGACGGGGAAACCAAGGGGGGAGTGACGAGTTAGAAGGCTAGCCACCTGGAATTTGATATAGATTTTAGATACAGATTATGATTCTGTAAGCTAGAGTGTATTTAGAGATTTTATGATATCAGAGCAAATTGTAAAAATTTTATCTTGAGATTTGGTGGTATCAGATTATGAATTGAATAAGTTTTGAGCCTTGTGCATTCGTGGGACTCGTCTCACGAGTGCATGGCGTCTGTCGCGTCTCTGGATTTGGGTTATGGGGCGTGACACATATATTGTAATCGAAATCTCACACCCTGGTGCTTACATTCTCCAAGATTTTGAGTGCAAGAGAGTGCCTAGGGTCTAGAATGTCAACAACCTCAAGAAATTCTACACTTGAAAGTTTCCCATTTCATTACTCGTATTAGACATCCTTCTTTTGTAACATTTGATGTCTTAATAAAGTTAAGGGCGAAGTCAATTTCAATACTCCCATTTTAGCCAAATTCACAAGTTTCATTTCGATCATTCATCCCTTCCCATTTCAAAACACTCCAAAAACACAATCAACACATTAAAACACCAAATTGAATTTATTACATAAGCTTAATTGTTCACAAACAAATTATTTTTACAAAATGAACGAGGTGAAGAGTTATTCAGCAGGTTGATCCGGTTTGTCAGCACCTCCGCTCCCTTTGTCATCCACTGGCATGAACTCAAAATTGAAGTTTGGAGAGAAGATGGTTCGACCTCTACTGTCCCTGTCCCACTTCAGCGTAACCTTAGGACGGAAGTCAACAGTACTGCTCTCCCCATCTTCTTCCACTTCTCCCTCCTGATCTTCGAATGTGATTTTTGTCACATCCATGTCAGGGTACTGTAATTTCACCTTCTTTCTGCAGTCGAAGAAGGCTACAATTGTTATTGGGAGCCAGTAGAGTTTGACAATATCCTCGAAAGTGCTGGACTTCAAAAACTCTGCCACATGCTCTTCAACAGAGTTGTGAACTTTGAGGTCCAGCTCAACTGCCACCCTCGTCACCTCGTCCAACTCTTTTTCCTTCTTCTTGAGCTCATCTTCACAAATCTTCCTTTTCTTGTACAAGAGCTTTGAGTCTCTCTTCAAGGTGGGATTCTCCCTTTTAAGCTCCTCCATATCTAATCTCAGCTTTGCCACCTCGAGCTCGGCATCCTCGTTTTTCTTGACGAGCTTGGCATTCTCTTTAATTGCGTCCTATCCCTCAGGCTCTCGTGATGCTTGTTTGCTAGTGCATTCATGAGATTCACAGCTTGCACAATAGGTTAAACTCAAATTAGCAAACAATTAACAAAATCTTTATCTTAAAACTTCAAGCGAAATAGGAATATCGTACCTCAAGGGCTTGACGCACCACCCCTACTTAACCTTTGGCAGCCACCTTGTTTCTTGCGCGTTGGCGGTTTACCTCTTGGAAGTAAGCATTGATGAACCTCTTTGCTGTGCTCTTCATCCCAAAATCATAGAAGCTGGTTGTCTGCAGGCGAATATACCCCTACTCTTGGAGTTCAGCTGCGACCTCAGTAATCATAGCTGAAGTCCCAACCTCAATGCGAAGAGACAAGGTGGCAGGTTCCATCACCTCCTTTCTAACCTCCTGTTGCTGCTCCTCCATCCTTCTCCTCTTTGCAGCAACAGGTCCTTCCTCAGCTACTATCACCTCGTCCCCAACATTGCTAGGTTGGGAAACGACTAAGGTTTGGACCTTAGGCTGAGATGCCGAGCTCACCTCGCCCCGCCTCCCAACCTCAGCCCTCTTCCCTTTTCCCTTCTTAGGGATGCCAACCCCACCAGCTGCTTCCAAGAACTTATTCATCTTTTTTGCAAAACAAAACAAGGTTAAAACACTGATCAGAGCCTTATAATAAAACAAACAATTAAATTACACATCATCGCTTCGTGAGTTCAGCCCATATATCTCAGCCATGTCTAGCATCCTTTGGCTCGTGTGCTCCAGAACATCTAGTATGCCCTCATCCCCCCTCTCCAGCATTCTCTCATCTTCTAACTCCCCTGGGGTTAGGCTATACTCGTTGGAATTCACCCTTTTTGCCTTCCATCGGCTAAGGTTCTCCACCTCAGCATCTGTCTTGTCCCGCTCAATGTCATCCACAAAAAAGAATTTATATTTCCATCCTTTCATGGAAGATGACCCAGCACTGAACAAACCCCTCTTCTTTTTAATAACTACCTGACTCGTGAAATAGTACCACCCCTTCTCCCTGCCACTCCCAAAATTTAGCACATAAAAATACTTAAATACATTTATGGTTGGGAATGACACTCCTCGAACTCGACTTTACACTGCAAAGGCTATCACTAGCCTTACAACATTCGGGGTAAGCAGTGTCAACCCCAAACCATACTCCATCAACACCCACACCAACAATTCTGGGATGGGGAACCGCAATCCAATCGTCATGTCATGGGAATACAAGGGCATCCAATGGTCCCCCGGGGTTGAACAAGCCCTCTGTCTCCTTCCTGCTGGCCTCACCAATACATGCCTAGGCACCCCATAGTTTTCAACCAAATGGGCCAAACCACTCCTAGTTTGCAGAGATGTCTCATACCCTATAACTTTAGAAACAATCTCCTCCTTAGGGTTGAAACACTCCTCCCTTTCATCCTTTCTCTCCAAAATATTTTGGGGCACCCCTAAATCTACCCCTTCTCCCTCCTCAAACCTCCCTCTAATCCTTTTATCGCTAATAATCTTTTTAGACGACATTCTCGCTACTCTAAAGAAAAGTAGAAGGAAAACGCTCACAAATTACCTGATTTCGGCTGAGCAAGGTTGAACCAAAGCAAAGTGCAAAGAGCTCTGTAAATGTTTTTACAATGTTAGCAGCAAATGGAATTAAATTTTCGTGTAAGTGTAGCCATATATATCACGGCAAACACACACTGTAACGATCACAATCAATTTCTTCAACAATTGTAACCTTGCCTTTTCAAATTCATCGTTTAACTTACCGTTGCATCTTTTCGAATGTGATGGTTACTTTTTGCAAATCGTATTTATTACTGCACGTCCTTCAATGATAGCTGTTGTCTGGTACATCAACCGGTTTCAGAACTTCATAAATGGGCCCATTTAAGGCCCACTTGGAACCGCTTCATATACATTTTGCACAAAAATTACCAAGTGTGCCACCTTAACTTCTCACCTTGGCTACGGCCATAAAACGTGACTTCGTGTCACATTTTTCACCTCGGCTATGGCCATAACGCATGACCCGTCATGCCTTCTCACCTCTGCTACGACCATAAAACATGACTTCATGTCACACCCTTCGCCTTGACTACGGCCATAACGCATGACCTGTCATGCCTCTCTATCTCGGCTACGGCCAAAACACGATCCTGTGTCATGTCTCTTCACCTCTACTACGGCCACAACGCATGACCCGTCATGCCTTTTCACTCTAGCTACGGCTGCCTCTTCATCTCAGTCATGGCCACAGTGTGATCGCTAACCGTGTCTTTCCAATTCGGCTTCCACCGTGACCACCTCATACAATCCCCATATCGGCTACCACCAACATCTCACCACCTACTTTCCATTCATCATTCACAAGTGAAAGACTTTAGGGGGGGGGGGAATAGTGTGAGGGTATAAATATGCAAGGCAGAGCTCAATGCTCTACCAAACCTCAGTTCTCTACTACAAATGCACAACATGC